TAAAGGGGTCGAATATGACAACCAGGGGGGTCGTGGTAGTTTGAAGTCAGAAGTCAACTGCCAGTTAATAGACTTTTTTGCCGTATGAGTATACGTTGCCCAGGGTGCACCACGTGGAGGTAAGTCTATCGCACACCCCGGGATAGATGAAATAAAGCTCCAGTAAATGCCATTCATGATTTATTTAAGCCTTAAAACTATTTTTGAACATTTTCCGCAATGAATCATTTTAACTTAAAATCTAGTTTCAATATTGAAGACTCTCTTGATAAATGATTAATGCAGGCACTCATCACACAATTGGCTTGACACTACCAATTTCGCTGCAATATATTTACGTTATTTACAAACTACCCCTCCTCTAAATTTCAGAGCCCTGATGTTGTAACGAATCTCTGACTGGCCAGTTTACTCAGTGGTCCGATCTCAAGTAAAAGAGTTTTACTTAATTTCTAAAAAAAATAATTAATATTAATGAATTTGATCATCCCAACGAACACGTATTTGCTTGTAGCACAATTGAACGATCGGGTCTTTATGCTCTGAGTCTCAACTACTTTAAATGACAACTGAATTTCTTCTTTCTGGCTATTCTATGATATGTATCGAAAAGCATTACATAAAAACTTAATAATTGCAACAAGAATTGCAATCTGGACTCAGTCAGTATTTGATTTAGCGATACAATAGTATCGAAATATTAGACTCTCCATTAAAATTAAATAGATTTTAACACTATTACTGTTAATGCGTTGATAGTCAACTCTGAACTAATAAACAATAGTCTCGAAACAGCAAAATGATTAAAAAATAAAAGAGTTAAACCGCCTCCTTTTTGAGTCAATACCAATTGAGGAAGAAATCGACGTAATCATTGTAGTTTACCTATTGGTCTAAAAGGCTTTAATATCATTGGCTCTATTACTGGATCACCTGTGACGGATTACTCTTTGCAGCCTATTGGCTTCAAGTATTCCCATATTTAGCCTAAATTAATCAAAGGCCTGTTTTCAAGTGAACTCTGCAAACACTGGGGTAATGCCTAAAATAACAACGCAAAAAAGGAAAATAGAAACACTGCTCACTGAGAAGTATTGTAGAAGAGTTAGCCTATTATTACAATATACGTAAAATTTTATAGCTGGTTACGTGTTGTTTCGATGAAGTATTCCTCGAAAAACCCGTGGGATTTCTTAATGCTGTTTCACTCCGAATCTCTTGTGGGAATCCACAAAACGGTAAAGATACTATGGTTAGAATGCCAGAATGGGTTACTAATCCTCCACCTCTCATCAGGCCCGTTTCCGCTGGTTCACAGGGCTTGGGTGGTCCTGTTCCATTACCATTTTCCATATCTTGGCAACGATATACGCCTATGGAAGGAATAAGTAAGAACCTATAATTTATCTTTTACTTAAATCTTAGATGGAAACGTTCAGTTTTTATCAGTTATAGAACCTGAAGTCTTGGTGGTTGTTTTGCAAGAGCGGCTTAATTCGTTTCTGAAAGTATGATTAAATATATTTCGATGTCTTTTTTAACATATTAGAATCAAAGTTATTTCGAAGCATTTATATCGTCTCTCCGATCACTTCAACCCGAGAGACGCGTTTCTTTAATAATTCATGCTCCAAAGTAATCGTACCTTTTATTTCCTAACGATGTAAATTGCTTAGGCGACCACCTTCGAAAGAGGACGATCTTGTAAAGATGATTGTTCGTCTTCAATTTGAGGCTCGTTTGATCGGAGTTCAACAAGCTTCTACGGTTCAGAATCTCGCTGTCCTCATCGGAAACTATACCAAAGCCATTTGTCAACGTCCTTTCAAGTGTGTCCATTTTGATAATTTATTAAGAGTTAACACTCCAATCGCCCCACTTTGATATATTGCTTTCTAGTTATAGTATCTTTAATGGGCTCGTATAGGTTTTATTTAAATGTTTGATCCGACGCTCGTTAACTCCGTGTTTTTCAACAAGATTCTTTACTTTACACTTCGTGCTGTTAATAATCTTTTAAGAGAAAGTTTTCGAGGCCACTACGATCAATATATCCCTCCTCTAAGCTCGTAAGTTAAATCGAGGTTTTGTGTTTCCTGGAAACATTCTTTTTTTGTGAGAAGTATAAACATTCTCTTTGCAGTTAAAGCTAATACAGCTCGAGAGCAATGAATTTCTGGTGTCTTTTTTAGGAAGAGCATGTATACACCTTTGAATTACAAGGGATATTGCTGTTGTACTCTTGAGAATATTGTATCACAGACTACTTTTACTTAATACATGATTTCAGTGTAAATTTAATAGCTTTTTGGTCATATTTACATGAATGTACCTCATGACTTTCCCTAAAACTTTTCGAAATCCTTGGGTTACCCGGATGGCTGAGGTTTTTTAATGTTCGAATAGATGTCTTTCAATCATTAACTTCGTTTGCACTTGAACCTTTAGGGCACCCCTACGGTCCATTGGTACTAGACTCATGACAGAGGGCGCTATTGCTATTTAAAGTTTTTTTCAACACGTCTATAGCCTTCGCCTAATACCACTAAACTCATCACGTCGGCAACAGTCTGCTGTGAGATACGTGTGAATGCAGTAGGGTGCTTTTTTCAAAAAATAATATTTCGGGAGTTAATGGCTTAATGACCGAAGACCGCTTTCGAATTTTCATTAAACTCATCAAAACGTATCGAAGCTCAGACATAAAAACGTCTCCCTTTTTGGAGCTTTAAGATTTATTTGGTTTATTTTCTAACATCACTTCTACATTTCAGGCAAAACCGGCTAGATGACCGTCACGGATTCTCATTTCTCCCCACAGCTGCCAACACAGTGGCAGGTGCTGTTGCCGCTCCACGTTTCCCCTTGACAGCAATGACGTCTCTAAATAAAGGAGCCACTCAAGTGGGGTTTGGTGTCAATCAGAAAGAAGCTCTAAGATCGTGGGCTCATCGAACGTGGCTGCGTCAGCTGGCAACTTGGAGAGGCATGACTGGAGAGGTGGTGAATGCTGTTGCAGAAGCTTATCCGACACCAAGAGCACTGTTTAATGCTTTGAGGCATCTCTCAAGTACGTTTGTTTGGTGTTGCATTGTTTTCATGTCACGCATAGTTCAAACTGCGACCATTGTATTGCGTTATTCTTTTAGCGTCATGTGCCTTCTTGTGCGCTCCTATTTGACCTATAGATAAGTGTTACTAATTTAAAACGCCCAAAACATGCAATCCTCATGTCAAATCCCTGAGCCAATGCAAAGACTTGTGTGAGTGCGAGGATTTATGGGAGAGTATCGGGACTTGACGACCCTATGATTCAATATCGCGTAGTGTGATAATCCGTCTTGATCGAATAATTTGGTACTACAATGGGTAGTTACTTGGCATAGGAGAATCTCTGCAATACTTTATACTGTTTCAAGAACAAAAACTTATATTTACAACAGAACTGAGTTAGTAGGACCTCTCAGATTTGTTGTTTGCGTCCTGCCTTAAATGTGTAGCTTATATATGTCCTCATGAGAACAACGATACATACAGATTTCTAGCTTTTGGCACATTTGAAATGGGTGTTAATTGTTCCATGATTTTCCTAATCCTCTGCACATCCCGATAGAAAAGTCAGAATTCATTAGTCTATTGATTAGGTTGAGCCTGAATGCAATTAGTACGATTCACTTTAAGCAACTGCAATTTTATCATTTTCAAGGTGAAGAAGCAATAAAACGTCTTAGTGATTTGCGAATACGTCGAGGAGCTGGCGTCCTAGCCACCGAAACCCGCCTTGGAAACGCTATCGCCTCTCGTATTGTGAACTTTTTTACTTCTTTCGATCCGAACCTCCTGATTGGAGGTGATTTATAACCCTCACTCCCAAAGATCTCTTCCCACTATTTTATATGCAAAGCGAATTAAAAATTTGTGTGTATAAAACGAGTACATTTACATTTATGATACAAATAGTGGTGTTCTGTTGCAGAATACACGAGCAGTGTTTTACAGCACCTCTTCATGTACCTGCATAATTTCAACACCTTCGTCAACATTAATGGAGACCTTCTTTGTGCTCTTTTTAGCTGCAACTAGTGCTCGGTAATCTAAAAAAATAATTAAGCTTATTTATATATTAAAATACTGACAAGTAGCCAGGTAGGACTAACTTTCAATAAATTGAAGGAGTGGTGACTCAAAGTGGCCAAATTGCATATCCCTAAGAGCACCTATGATATCCGAAGCGGCGAGGGTTTTACGTTTTCCTGCTTCACAGTGAGCAGAAGCCATAGTTGAGACACAGAGCACAAACGAGCTAGCTGCTTTACTCAACGCGGAACGGGCTTCACGGGAGACAATTACGTTTGAATCTTCAGGAAACTAACAGATTCGAAATTAGCCTAACGCAAGATCAACCTACCGCTTCCTTAACAATCCGCATAATAACCGCGTAGGGGAGGTATAGATCATCCGATTTCTCAGACATTTCCTGGGCTAGAGAAAAAGGAAAAGTGAGCGAGTCGCAGTGCAGTATCGAGATGGAGTTAAAAAACGAGGATTTCACAAAAGAGCTGCATTTTTATTTATCGTTAATGATTAATAGCAACAAACAGATGGATAGTAAGGGAAAGAATTGAGTAGATGTTGTGTGAAAGGCGAACAACTTCAATCCGATTCTAGGTGCGTCGGAAGAAGTAGAGATAGGCATGTTGGAAGGGTGGGGATTCACTTCGACAGACTTTTTCATCGTTGAAAATAACCCATTCATCTTCGTTGTCTGGACGACATGGAGTGGTTTCACAGGCTGAAACTAGACCAGGGATACCCTTGCACAAAGCTGAACGCTTAATGTGACAGACATAGTGTCCAGACTAGAAAATAAGGACAGAAGAAAGCTTTTAAATCAGCATTAATTAGAATTCGAGGGGCGTATTTGATGCTTGATCTTCATGCTATCCAACTACATTGTATTCCTTGTTCTTAGCGTATCCTTAATACGAAACGTTATTTTAGCTAACTAGATAACAGTATTAGGTTTAGATAGTCAGGATTGTGAGCAAGATACCCGACAATTTACATAGATGAACGTTTAAAGGCATTTCACCTTTAAGAAATAAATTTGTATCGACGCAACCGAAATTCTAAAACCCCGAAAATGCTCAGGGTAAGAAATTTACATGTGGTTTACTACCTAGAGATAGTCTATACCGTTTAGAGAAGTTACATACTCTGATTTAATCTAATCATGTGAATGATATGCATATGATAAGTAAAAAAGCTTCAAAATGTAAGAAATGTGAACTCACAGCAGTAGATCGGCCCATGTGGCTAATGAAAGCAATCAATTCATATCGGCTAGGATCTCCATCAGAAAGCCCCTCTTTGCTTGTTTCTGTGCCCATGGCCCTGGCACTCGAACTACCATCTTGTTGCTTTAGAGTCTCCACAGGGTTGAGCAACTCCTCCGGATTCGTAAAGGCCATGTTTATTGCTTCCTCAATCCTATTACTGCACACTTCTAGAGCCCTCTGCGCCAATTCCTTAGCAATTCCCATTTCAAGAAGCATGTTAAGAGCGCTAGGGTCAACACTCGAACAATCAACACTTGATGGCGCGCCAAAGCTCTGAATAGGATCATTCAAATTGGAGTCTTCTATGTGTGCCATCAACCAGTTAGAAGCTTCCTCGGCATTTGAATTCATTGCCATACAGGCTCGAATGCAGGCGTTACGGGAGAAGCCCATGGTTTGCAACTGTTCTACAACGCTTTCGTCTACTGCTGGACCTGATTGGGTTTGAGCTGATGTTTCCGAAACATCACCTATTTCAAAACATAGAACGATAGAATTAGAGATTAATCTAACGCAATAACATTTAAGAGAAGCTATAACAGTATACCGATAGCCAGCATTGCAACGAGGGAAAACTTTACCGATTTTAGCTTGACAAACAGCACAAGAAATGTCTATGGAAAAGAATGATAGAAAGTGCACATAATATTATCATGATCAACAAAAAAGATTCGGTTCATTCATGACAAAGTGAATAAGACTTTTTCAATCTTTTTTTTAAGTCAAATCTCATATCCTGGATATCTTCATGTGAAAAGACCGAATGACATATATTTGCATGTCATTTCGCCTATCCTCCTGGAAATTTTCACATAGAGAGGGGAATAAACCAAAGAAACTAAATTCTCAACCACCGAGGATGGAACGTCTGAGTTTCTCGAGAACTGAACTTCACCAACCTTAGAGAGCACAAGAGAAGGAGATTTTACCGCAAGAATCCTGACCCATATCCATTCTCCGTAATCGATTTAGGTATTTTAAGCTTCATTCGAATAATTAGAGCTACAAACCTTAACACGACCAGAAGTCTATTAATTTGATGAAATGGACTAGAAATTATGTACTCACTAGGCATTAGAACCTCTCCAGGTTGAAGGCCCCCAGGGGCTTTAAGAGCAGAGAGATCCAATCTCCATTCAGGTCTGGGCCGACCATCCTCGCTTGAATTGGGATCAAGTTGGATGGCCACATGCAATTTGTGCGGAAGCCACTTTTCATCCAGAGTAAACTTGAGCATTTGAATGCAGAGCAGATCGGGGAATGTTGAAAAACGTGAAGATTGAAGGGCGAATGTTCGCTGCCCCGGGGGTTCAGTGGCAGGGGAAATGAAATCAGACACGACATTTTGTGCTGCCCAACTTGAAATGCAGGCCTGTGAAAAAGAGGAGTCATAATTAATCAAGACGAATCGAATACCAGCATAAAGTTCATTGAAAACTACGATTGCACGAATATGTAGTCCCAAAGGCTCAATGAAGAACGATTAAATTGCGCCTTTACATAATCTTCCAACAAATTCTAACCTCTTCCGAACTCTTATGTGCCATTAGGAACTAGAAAGACAAAAAGTATGGCATTTCCAAGGTGAGCAATCGTTGGTAGTCACATTTAGTTGCTCTTAGCTGCAAGAAGATAAATTAATTAAAGTGCATGACCAACTACGGAACAAAACCCACCAATCGATAATTTCTGATTATTGAGGACAAAACATCATTCATGCTTCCCAAGATAAAAGGTTCTTTTTAACAGCGTCAAGAGTAATGCTAACACACCAATCATTATTGACTGAAAATAAGTATTTAGCAACACTAAGGGCATTTTAAAATTCCGAGTGAAATATGTAGACTTTGTGAGCGGTGAAGAGGAGTGTTAAAAAGATTACCATTATAATAGCAAAGGGCAGCATTTCTAAGTGATTTCAGGTGCTAATTGAAAAATGAAGGCGAAAATCCCCCAAATGTTCAGAAAAGGCAGTGTTTAAAACTCTCACAAAATTATACTCACAACCTTTAGAAAATAAAAACAAGGCAAATATAAGTTATTATCGAGAGTAGTATGAAAATTAGTGAAAAAATTCTAATTTGTACTAAATCTTGGAGCATACCACAAGCTCCGCATCGCTTAACTGACTAGCAATTGGCTTAGTTTGAAAGTATAAATCACTAAAACCTACTTAATAATTTAAACAGGAATGGTGTTACGCAATAAACTTACATCAATACCGATCTTGAGATAGATTGGATCTTCTTTGAAAGGAACACCTGCCTTTTCTGCCTCAAGTTTACGATTTTCAAAAGCAGCAACCTCTTCAACATTTGTAGCAGCTTCCAATGGAATGGGCAAGCGCAGAATTTGCTCAGAGTGGTCTTTGTACTGCACCTATTGAGCAAATTAGATTGCATTGTAATTATGAAAAGAAGTTGTGTTCTTAAAAAGTATTCAATAGATATACCTTGTGAGTTGAACCGCATTCCAGACGTTCCTCAACCATGAATGTCAGAGCTGAGAGAGGAGAAGGTTCATCCAGCTTGACTTTATTCTCCTTAACTTCTCGTTCGATAAGGTCAAATAGATGAGAAAGGAATTCTTGCACATCTTTTTGTTGCTTGGTTGCGAATTCGGAGCAAGTGCTTCCAATCAGGTTACGGAACATACGAGGTCGGATGCCTTGATGAAAATAAGAAAATGCTATTAGATAGAGAAATATCTCTTTGAGGTGTAATTAAACTAACGTTTTAAAATCCTTTAGATAAAGTAGTCATAGCAATCAGGAAATGATTTATCGAGGATTTTAAAGTAACCTATTTTCCAGCTCAAAGATCTAAGATTAATTCGTATGAGAATTTTATAACCAAAAAAACAGAATTTGGGAAATTAAGACAATAAAAGGTGAAAAATACAACAAAAAAACATTACAAACTTAGAAGACGTTTCCCATACTACGCATGATTATGCAATAAAAGTATCGATACTTCAAAACTGATAAAGCCAAACTGCATTTAGAACTCACTAAGACCCTTCTTTAATTTTTACACAATAAGTATGGATACTGACTTTTAAATATGAAATTGGAAAGACCAAGCTTTCAAAAATAGTTTAAAGAAAATTGTTAAACTAAATCAGCATCAGGAAGTCCAGATGATTCGATATTGAAACCCATTAGCATGCACGCGGAAATTAAAAGTGGGTATCGTTAAGAAAACAGAAAAGTGAACCTTAACTCCCAATTTTAATACTTATATTGGGTAGAGGGTCACGATTACGAATCCTCCCTGTTGAGGAAATCAAATTTAAAAGTTCACCAATATTAACGATAACTAGCCAATGAGGTTGTCTACTTCTCCGCTCGGGAGTGAATCTTTGGTTTTGCAGACAAGCTCGTTAATAAATGTGCCCATTTCTCCTAATTCTGAGATAAAGCTTAAAAGTATAAGCATATTTCTTAGAATGTGTGCAATTAGGTTTTCATGGAACTTGCGTGAAATATCAGTAGCTACCTACCCGGTTGTTTAGGTACAACTTCTCCACTCTTGAGATCAGAAATATCAACTATAGGGAATGAGTAGGCCCCCGAACACAGTGCTTGGCCAAGTTTACTCATCTGCAAGCCAAAGAAGTCTACAGCATTCGCAGCATTGCCGCTTTTGGCGATCGCATCAATAGCGGAGGAAACAAACTTGGGCAAATGCAATGTATATCTCTTCCGGAAGAAGTCCGTAGCAAAGATAACTTGCATAGCGGCATTAATGTAACAGGAATTGCCCAAATTACAGAGACCTGTTAGACCTGGACCATAGAGGGGTTGAAGGGTCTTATCAGACTCCTGCAAGGTAAGCCATTCACCCAAGCGTTCATTGGCAGCAATCTCTAACTCCATGACGGTTTGATCGTTCTTCTGTGCTGTTTGCATGTCAATTCCGAAATGAGCGAGGTGTTGGCTCAGCAAAGGATCGGTGACCATATCATCTTCGGGATAAGAGAAGACTTCGGCACTCTATAAATTCACAATTAAATGCAATTAAGTTTAAGAATTACTTTGATTCTGATATGAGTGACAAATATCAAAACAAACACTCTAATAAGTCCATTTCAAACTAACCCAGATGAATATACACAAATTGAAAGTTCTTAGGTATGAACACAAATATAAAACATCAATAGCGTCAATTTTAAAACAAAATCTCAACGGTACTGTTAAACCTCCTATGATTGCACAATTTATGGATACACCTCCCTAAATACCTACGGCAAACTAAACGCTTGAAAAATATCTTTGTAACGCTAATTAATTTTGCAAAGCCGTCTGATGGCTTTGCTAAGCTAAGAGAGGATTTAATCCAAACGAACATGAAAGTACATTATAAGGATCCCATTAAGACATTAAAATGCTTACTGTTGGAGTGATGGTACCAAGCTTAACCGCAAGAGGATATTTGGTGCGTTCGTAGTGCTCAATCGCGTGGTTATTCCCACCAGATCCATCCCAGAATCTTCGACCACATGATATTGTTCCATCCGAAAGGTTCATCCACAAATTTGTTACCAGGTCGCATTTGTGACACTTGTTACCGCTGCGAAGCAAATAAATGACACTACATTAGTACGCAAATAATAGGGCGAGGCTGGGTAGCTAATTGATGTAAAAAAAACCTTGGAAATGCTATTTGCTGGTTAAAGGTACAAATGAAAAGTGCTGCAATAACAATAAAGTAGGTCGGATTATAACCAGAAAGTCAAATAGCTGTAACTTCCAAAAAAGGAAAAATACCGAACACAAAAGTTGAAGAGCGATCTTAGTAAATTTATAACATTATAATTCAAAATAAAATAAATTTTTAGGGGAAAAAAGTTGTTACAACGACAAATTATACATAACATTACAAAGAAAGTGGCACGTTTGGTGTGAAATATTATCTAAACTCGCTAGTTAGTTCCACCATTCTAGTGTACAAGTAAAAATAGAATTTACAATAAGTATTCAGCGTGTACATGAAACGATTATATGAAAACTTAGATATCTATTAAACAAATAAATGAAATAAATTGCAAAAAAATGACAAGGAAAAGAGAAAGAAATAAAAAGTCCGCAGAATGAACTTTAAAAAATAATACCTATATGCAGCAATTACCCAAGCTTATAATAGTTCAATGTGAGTGATAAAAGCGCTTTTAGGGAATCTTAACTAACCTAGGTGGGACTTTAACACCATTGTTCAACTGTGCGAGATTTTCGGCATATTTAGAGACTGGACAAAGATTTTCCGCCTCCCAGGCCTGTGCAGCACTCTCCCTTTCAGATATAAGTATTGCAGAATCACATCGTTGGATGTGATTAATAGACAAAGTCAGTTTTGAAGAGAGACCAAGGCTTGCAAGATGAGACGTGTCTGATTTGTCAGAATGTTCTTTAGGATTTGGAATGTCGGGAGAACGAAGGTCTGGATAACGAAATAAGTTCCATCTTTCAGTGACTTCATATTTGTCGTGTGGTAATTCGAAACCACCAGGAAGTCCAATGGCAAGTTTCTTGGGTTGAGGTTCAAGATCACAGGGAGCTGAACAAAAAATATAAATCAAAATTTGCCAAGTGTTACCTTTTTCTTTAATTACTTTCACAATTTTATATTGAAGGAATAAAGTATGTCCTGTTTTATTAACATATTCACCTAGGTATTGTTGTCCTATGCCAATAAAATTTCTCAAGCATATAAAAAGTCCGTTTTCGTCATCTGGAGCAGAGAATGAAAACACACATTCGTCTTTATATGCTTTTGTATCCTTAGTTGGCGAAGAAATCAAGGAATCAACATTGCCAAACTTTTCCATTGCTGAACTATGGAAAAATGACTGTTATTACGACTATGACCTTGACATGAAATTAAAATATTCATAAAATATATTTTAAGATAGTTTTACTGAATAATGTGACCAGTTTTGACAATTTTTAATTTAAATTTATATTTAATATGAAACTTAAGATTGTGCAAACATTCTTTATTATTCTTTATTGACTCTAAAATAATTCAATGTTAATCAGTTATACTTCTTCCTTAGAGAATGAAAATGTACTTATATTCACTTCATACCATTAAATCTAGCGACATTAGGCAAAATTATTAACCTTTTAAGGATAGAGTTACAAACTATTGGACCCCAATACTGTTGCAAATTTGACAATTGCTAGATTTTCTCGCACTCCATGCCAATTACACCTTAACTTTAGCATGGCACAGAGACAGGAAATAGACTTAATCAGTACATACATGCGAAGTTTAAAATTTACTTAAGCTGGGTTATTTTTAAAATTAGTCAAAATAAGGTTGCTGCGATTTTTCATTTTGTATTTTTAATTTTGATCGATTTAGATTTCCCAACTAAATGTTATAATATTATTTCTTTGCTAAAGTGGATTTCAGACAAATGTTGATAATTGAGTAACAAATTCTCCTTCCAGACAAGGCACTTTTAGATGGCACATCTAACTGTTAATTTAAGCCGCTAAAAGTTTCTGAATGATTGTGTATCTGCCTCCTCTTCTTTTCGAATTTAACCAAGGGATATCGATATCTAATGAGCAATTAGATCTAAAACGTAGCAACTAGGCTTTCGGCGTTACATCAATTATTAAATTTACAGAGGTCATTGCAACAATTTTAAGTTCAGTTTTAAAATTTTCATGGATCAAATTAAAGATTCGATTGCAATCATTCATTGACTGGTTCTAAATCGATGATTCGGGGTGTGCGATAGACTTACCTCCACGTGATGCACTCTGAGCAACGTATACTCATATGGCAAAAAAGTCTATAAACTGGCAGTCGACTTCAAGGTCCCATGACCAGACTGTATGCCATATTCGACCATTTCCACAGTACTCATCTTACCTAACTTTCTTCTCTACCTTTATGTCTGTCTCCTTTACACCTGTGAATCACTCTTCTGTTCCTCCCTCCTTCACTTTTCGTAACTTGGATGTTCCTCCCTTCTGTAAGGCTCGAAGTCTGCCTAAGGGCTTATGATAACTATCAAAAGCCTGCCATTTGATATAAATAAATCGATGATTCTTAATTTTGCGGATAAAAATATGAAGGTTTAAAAAACAAAGCATAAATAACCACATGCTATTTCATGCCTACCCAATTGTAGTAAGATTCATTAACCAATTTTAATACTTATTGAATAATTGTCTTTAAATAAATTCATCTTCTTGAGTCACCATC